ACTCTTACTAATCCAACAGTATTAAAAATACTTACTACATAATATCGACTGCTTTAAAATTACTGACCAATCGATAAATGACTTCATATAATCTCTCAAATCAATACAATACCGATCCAAAACACAAGTTTTAACCGTCACTCGTTAGTAAATATATTATATTTCAGTGATTATGTGTAGTTTGGAGAAAGTTTTCAATCTTTTTAAAATCAAATTCTACGCCTTATCGCGGTTATGGATAGTCTTTATTAGTTAACTAGTGCATTGTTTTGTCAATTCAAAATAATTAATAAATAAGACCGCTTCAAATGACTAGACAATTTGTTCTATTAATGATTTTTATTCAGTATAGTATAAATGATTTATACAAAAAAAAAGACTAACGTTTCAGCAGCTAATTATTATTCACCGGTTCTATTGATTTTATTTCTTCAAGTAGTTTATTTATGCAAAGAAAACAATTCGATCAATAAAGTTGATAAGAAAATGTTTATCGATATTGTTCAGTTAACTATATCTAATATTGACATTTTTATGAGAAGTATAGAGAACAGCTTATCTGTAACAGTAGAATGATTTGATTTTATTTCTGATTATATAAATATGGTTTTTTAAGTTTTGTTTCGACTGACAGTTTCCTCATGTCACATTTAAAATAGTAATTTCATTTAACAAGTTTGGAAGGCAACTGACTAGGTTATGCAAAACACAAATCCACCGGCACATTAGCTCACGATACCGATTAAGTTGGATGAGAATTCATTCGAAATGAAGATATTTTCCAAATATTTCCATAATTAATGATTACGTATAAACGTAATTCTGAAAACAAGTACACGCAGTTACAGATATCTGGTCAACACTTACTAGGTTAAAAACGCAATCTGCTGAAAAATCAAGAAGGTAAGAGAAATTACACTCCTAATCTTACGTCTAACTACATTATTATGTAAAGCAGTTAACTAAAACACTGCGATGTCAAGACAGTTCTACTGTATGGAGCGGAAACATGGAGAACTACCAAAGCCATCATTCAGAAGATACAAGTGTTTATTAACAGCTGTCTACGCAAAATACTTCGTATTCGTTGGCCAGACACCATCAGCAACAACGAACTGTGGGAGAGAACAAACCAGATTCCAGTGGAGGAGGAAATCAGGAAGAAGCGGTGGAAGTGGATAGGACACACACTACGAAAAGCACCCAACTGCGTCACGAGACAAGCCCTCACATGGAACCCTCAAGGCAAAAGGAACAAAGGAAGGCCAAGGAACACCATACGCCGAGAAATAGAGAAAGATATGAGAGGAATGAACAAAAATTGGACAGAACTGGAGACGGAAGCCCAGGACAGAGTTGGTTGGAGAAAACTGGTGGGCGGCCTATGCTCCATTGGGGGTAACAGGCGTAAGTAAGTAAGTAAGTAAAACTCTGCGATAGAAAAGAGGCCAATACTATTTAATTTTGATTAATCGATACTGATCTACCGCAATATTTACTCAATCCATAAAAATACAAAGATTGGTTTAACCGCAGACTAACGCTGAATGCAGAAACCTCGAAGCAATTACTTCATTCAACAGTGTACTATCACGATACCAACCTAAAACTTGCAGCTAGTAGAATAAATTTAGCAGTAGAAACAACGAATTCAAACTTTAGCAAGATCTTCATCTAATGTCATTGATAGATAACCGCCACAAACCCAATTTGTTTGATTTTACACGTTACGGTTTTTCAACTTAAATCAAGTCACTAATAAGAGCCAGCAATAATAATCACTTTACTCAAAACTTAACCTAAACTTCATTCTAACAAATACTGAATCCATTGAAAACTTGATAACAGTAGAGATCATAGCTAAAAGTTTAACTACTTTATGTGTGGTACTTTTCAAAACTACGCATAATACTACAGTAGAATAAGTATAAACTTGCAGCAGTTTGTTGTTCAATTAAATGGAAAATTCGATTAGATATCTACGAAAGACAAACTTTTATTGAAAAATATTTGTATAAAATTCAAAGGGAAAAAATACAAGCAATCAAATATAAGTTGTTTATACACATAAATATATCACAGAAAAAGAGAATGACAGAAAAGTTCACAATAGTTTCCATTGTTCAAATTATAAATTTGCAAAAAATTTAAATGCTACAGACCAGCTTCTTTCATTGATTTCTCAGCTATATCAAATTGTAATTTTTCCCAAGTCCAACTTTGAGTAGGTGAACTATAATCACATGGTTTCACAAAAACTAACTGTTTTTTTGGATCCGAATCTAAACAAACACCTCTAGATCCAAGAGCCAAATGTAAAGGATTTGATTTATCATGATTGCTTGGTTTTATTTTCCATTGTTGATTGCCACCTTGACCATGGCATTGATATAAGACTATTGGAGCTTTGGGTTTTGTATCAGGTACATCTAAACAAGATCCTCTACACAATGGAATAAATAAGTGTAAAATATTTAAGTATAATAAAAATCTGTTGAAAATGGTAACGAAGAGTTACGATCAAAAAATGAAAAAAAAAACGTTATGAAATACAATTTAAATGATCATGAACACTTGATTAGCAAGTTAAACAATCACGTTATCATCTGATCAAACCATCAGGTTAGTGCAAAGTTATCAATAACCGTTATTAGTCAGCTAAATGAATTTGTAAGGGTAGACTAATTAATGCGAGTAGGTTTACTGAATCCTCCATTTATCATGTGGTGTATTTGTGGTTGAGATAAGAAAGATGTACTCTTCAAATGTTATTTATTAAAATATCACGAAGTGATACTAGTCTATGACTTCAGCTATATAATAAGGTCAAAAATATCATGAAAGATTTTGCTGAACGAAAGCAATCAGCAGATAGACACCATTTGTGGTATAACACTAAACTGGGCATGATAGCAAAGATGTATTGGGCTTTTTTTTCTTCCTTTGAAATTCAGAATATTTTATTGTCCTAACTTAAGTGATAAACCATTTTAATTGTTTATCTTATTACTGAAACCATATCGCTGATTTTCATTTTTATACTGTTGTGGCATGAGGCAAAATGAAGCTAATCAATTTAATCGGACAGCGACAGCTTCACATCAATTTTCTTCATTTAGATGAGTGAATAAAGAAAATCAATAGTTGGAATTTGATTGGAAAAATTCATTGATAACATTCTAGATGAAGGGAATACTAAGTACATCAGAAGCACTTTTTCAATCAATACATATATTATCTCTCTATGAATAAAACTGATCAATCACAGTGCCAGGAGCTATGACCAAACAAAACAGTCGATAGGAATAGAAAAATATTCATAGGAGAGATTATCAGAATAGATTGATCAAAACTCATTTACATTCTTCAGTTAGCAATTGATAATTTCCAAAAAGATAATAAAAATTTTTACAACTGAAACAAGAATCATCTAACAAATAGCATTATTACAGTAAAAACGGTACTTATAAGTTGAGATTCAGAAACATCTACATACGACATTTGATCAATAAAGTTAATCGTTATTTAGGTAAAATGCATAGTCATATAATTTAGAAGGTAAATGCTATGTCCTGAAGAAGATTAGAGAAATGGTAGCTCCTGCGGCTAATTTATGGATCATTATTGTTATTGTTACTAGGTGTTCTCATTGTTTAATTATTAAATAACTAGATTATAGCATATTTATATTCTTTTGTCATAAGCTCTTGATTGACCTACTAAATAGTTTTGTATGATTTACTACTCCTACACTTTTTTGTCAGTTTGTCATCCATAGACTACCTCATTCACAAAAACTTTTGGCTCGCTCAACTACAAATGTATTGTGACATTTTATGGTTTGGTATGGTCTGGTATGTTTGGTATGTGCCTGAATTTGAACTTATTTGGTGGAGGCTGACTATGAACCTCTGGACTAAGAGGCAGGGTAGAAAGAAAACTCTCAAGTTGTGGACCAATAAGGAGTTAGAGCTGACTCAAGATTTCTGGAGATAAGTCAGTCAGTCAGATGCAACGTAGAACTTCGTACGTAAGTACATCAGTTCATGTCTCCATACCACATCAGTACAAAGATTTAATTGTCAATTCAAATCCAATAGTAGAAGAGGTAGTAAAGGTATTAGGAGTAATCGGAGAGGTTAGGATTAAAAGATATTCAAGAAATATGATTCAGTGAGAAAAGTTTAGAAAGTCAAAACTAGAGGGGTCGAAGAATCCAGAAGATTAGGATTTGAGAGAACACAAAGAATAAAAGCACCGGCACCATTGCGAACGATTTTGAGCCATGTCATTCAAGGTCTCTAACCATCGGCGACTATCGTCTCGCTGACCCCAACCAGGTAGCCTACATCTACCAACACCACTTAGCCCACTTGTCAGTGACTTCATGGATTTCTGCCATGTTTTGGTTTGACAGCCCCTAACTTTCTTCTAACCTACTCCTACACTACAAAACAAAGCTCTTCGAGGCAGTCGGTGGTTAGGCATACGCAACACATGTCCCAACCACCTCAACTGATGAAGTTTCACCACTTCATCTATTGATCTGCCATTCTTACCTAGCACCCGATTCCTAATAACAGCGTTGCTCACTCGGGTGTCCCACAATATACGAGCAATGCTCCGAAGACACCTATGATCGAAAACCAATAACCGACGAATATCGTCTACTCTCATTGGCCATGTTTCACAGCCATAAAGTAAGACGGAGCGAACTAATGAGCAGTACACCCGTCCTTTAGTCAGCAAACGGATATCTCGCCTACGCCATAAGTCACACAGGTTGACAAAAGCCAATCGAGCCTTCTGTATCCGTGCTGAGATTCCGTCAGTCACCAGGCCATCGGCACTCATGAGACTCCCAAGATAAGTGAAGCGGTTTACACGTTCGACTACTTCACTCCCTATCACTAGTTCAGGTGCCGATGAAACCCAATCTCGAAGCAACATTTTGCATTTCGAGGGGGAAAACCACATCCCGAACATGCTTGCATTGTTGCTTATGGTAGTCAGAAGACTCTGCATTTTGTCAGCGTCTTCACCGAATAGAACTATGTCATCGGCATATTCTAGGTCAGTAAGCGATTTTACTGGTAGAAGGTCCACTCCTGAAAATTCGGAAGAGGATAATGTTATATCTTGTACCATGTGTATAATAAAACTATGATAAAATTAAACAAGAATGGAGAGAGTGGACATCCCTGACGGACACCACTTGAAGTAACGAATTCCAACGACAGTTCACCATAAGCTATCACTCGACCAGTGGTGTTCGAGTAGAGAGCTTGTATAAGGTTAATTTACTTCTCTGGTACACCTTTCAATGACAGACACTGCCACAGAAGCTCACGATCCACAGAGTCAAATGCCGCCTTAAGGTCCAGGAAAACAACTATTGTAGGACGCCTAAATGTGTGTCTGTGTTCCAGGACCTGTCGTAGTGTGGTCTATACAGCCACGTCCAGGTCGAAAACCAGCCTGGTTTTCTCGAGTCTGCTCTTCACGAGCTTTCGTTAAGCGTCGAAGTACTATTGAAGCCAGTATTTTAGATACTATATTAGTTAGACTTATTCCCCTGTGATTGTCACAAGAAGACTTTTGTCCTTTCTTATAGATTGGGACAATCAAGGATTGAGACCAGTCGGATGGGATTGCGTCCAGTTCCCAGATTCTACCCAAGATCTCAGTCAACCTGGCTGCTAAAACTGGGCCACCATCATTAAATATTTCAGGGGTCAGTCTATCAGGACCTGCAGCTCGTCCTCGTTTCAGATCTCCTAACGCTTTTTTCAACTTCATTAAGACTAGTGGGACTTACGTCGATTTGCCATTCAGGATGACTGGAGATCGTGGGTAACCGAAGAGTGGCTCGAGGCCAGTTGAACTGATCCCTAAGGTGTTCTGCCCATCGATCCAGTCTCCTGGATTGAGAATGGATAATAAGACCATCCTTTTCCGAGATAGTCTCACTTACACTACGATTCCTAATACCAGTTTCCTTGATAGGTCGGAAAAGTTGTCTACTGTTGCCGATCGCCTCTGCCTTTTCCATCGCTCTCACTTTCGCCACTCCCCACTGTTTGCGATCATTGTGTAGGCTTTTTATAAGTCTGCGTCTAAGCTGACTTCGTTCTTCATCATGGTCTGAGCTAGGTGGGATGAGTTTTCGAGCATCCATCAGTTCGGTGGATGCTATTGAGATCCATGGCCTCACTTGTCACTTCCCGGCTGCCCACACCGTGGAAGGTTGTTTCTTGAGGGACCTGAAAAGGAAAATAGATTAGTGTTGGTCTCGGAGACCTGGTTGCGTGACCGCAGAGTCCAACGGACAACTGCTTGAGGCCGGTCACGCACGGCCTTTATATGAAACGTTTTTGAGTATTATCTCCGCTCTTGAAGGCCCTTAGTGGGCACCCTTACCCAAGGAGACGGAAATCCGTGAGGTAGGGTGAGGTGTGACATTTTTAGGGCCGACCTTTTCTAACCCTTCCTTCCTTGTGAGAAGGCAGCATGGCTGCAGGTGCTGGTCGTTCGAGGGAAACACCTTACTGTTGTCACACCCCTCTGCAGTCAGCAGTACGACTGCGCCCTCAGACCTTGGGTAGCTGCTTTTATTCTCATCGTTCTCCAATCGACCTGCCTGGCATGGTAGGACCTGCAGGAACATATGTTCCAGCCAGTATAGCTCGGTTGGTTCATAACTATAGGCAAGCCCGACCACCACGTCAAGGTAGCAGCTTCGGTCGGGAAACTCACCACTCTACATCAACTTTATTGACTACGAGAAAGCACTTGACAGTGTGCACAGGACAACACTATGCAGGCTTCTTCGACACTACGGCGTGCCTGAGAATATAGTCAACATCATACAGAATTATTATGATGGATTAAACTGCGAAATCCTGAACGGAGAACAGCTGACAATCTCGTTCGAAGCAAAGACCGGTGTCAGCCAGGGTTGCTTACTCTCACCTCTTCTCTTCATCCTTATGGTCGACTTGATTATGGAGACGTCAACATCTGGAGGGAATCACGGGATACAGTGGACAACTAGGATGGAGCTGGACGATCTGGACTTCTCAGATGACCTGGCTCTTCTATTGCACACGCAACAACAAATGCAAGAGAAGAGGACCAATGTAGCAGTAGCCTCAGCAGCAGCAGGTCTCAACAAACACAAAGGGAAAAGCAAGATTCTTTAGCATAACACAACATGCACCAAACAAGTCACTATTGATTGAGATGCCTTGGAGGACGTTAGCACCTTCACATAAGTGGGCAGCATCATTGACGAGCAAGGTGGATCTGATGCAGGTATGAAGGCGGGGGTCAGAATAGCTAGCAACCAACACAATTTTTATTACAAATGTCAACATAGCTCTACCGTATGGGGTGGAAACTTGAGAACCATGAAAGCCATCGTTCAGAAGTTGTAAGTGTGCTGGAAGTGCTGGAAGGGGATAGGACACATTGTGGAAAGCACCCTACTGCGTCACAAGACTAACCCTCACTTGGAACCCTCAAGGTAAAAGGAAAAGATGAAGGCAAAAATACACATTACGCCGAGAAATAGAGAAAGATATGAGAAGAGAGAAAAAAATTGGACAGAACTGGAAAGGGAAGCCCAGAACAGACTAGGTTGTAGAATACTGGTCGGCGGCCTATGCTCCGTCGGGGGTAACAGACGTATGTAAGTAGTATGTGAGTGTTACTTCTGGACTCAAAGGATGTGCACAACGAGGAGTTAGTGAATAATGGCGCAACAGGGACCCAAGTGCCGGCTCAAGAACAATGATGCCGATTAGGTATGTAATTGGCCAAGCCAGAGACACAGCTATGGAGTATATAACAAATTAAATTACAACTAGGATTCTCATCGGATACTGGGCCCATTGAACATGACAATTAGCATTCAGCTATAGCCATCCATTCAAAAAATAGTTAACTATAGAATATGAGCACTGTTACAATACTCTTTATTGAATAAAATTTAGTGACCAAATACAGTAAGATAAACTTAATTATGGGTTGAATACTTTCCCATAATGGTTAACAATGATAACTATTTATACCGTCATAAGTAGAGCGGAATTGTATTCTTTCACTAAATTTTTAATAATATTCATAGGAAATTTATTAAACTGTAAGATGTCAATTATTAGTTTCTATTCTTTTTGTTTATTCCCGTCAGATGTTATAATGTTGGTAGCTCTTCTAAATAGATTTGGGGGCAGAGAGATTTTCGCACTGAATGGATGAATATTATTAAAAATGTAATGAAACGAAACGATTCACTGCTAAACAACAGTTCCAGTGAAACACCATACTACAGGCGCCGTAGTTTTATTATTCCGCCATGGCGCAACAGAACTCCAAAGAGCCTGAAGATAACACAAAATTAAATCATATTACAAGACAACTAACGCACTTCAAAACGCTTTATTTCGTATAAAGGATAAGATCCCCTTTACGTCAACACAGAATAGCTTCTACAAATTAGGGTGTGTCAAATTTGACGCCTTCTTTATTGATTAGTCATCTCGTGAAATCTTGTTTCCAGTCAAAGAACGTATACAATACAATCAACTATAGTAGTACATACCATATTCAATAACCATCAGGTCGACATTAAAAATGTCAAAATAACACAAGAAGGCTTTTCCAACTACAGAGAAAAGCAAGTAGTTGAAGCTCTCCACATAATCCTAAATTCTACTGTCCTCAATAGAAAAGAAGGCCTTACTATCAATCCGACTTGGACCATCCATCCAAGCTACCATTTCTGATTCTATTCACAACTCATATTATTATCATACACACAAATTAACCCTATCCTTTCACATTACAAAGGTCACATTTTTCATATCAAATAACGCACACAAACACACAAGCATATTTCATATGAATCACCTTCACCAGGATGACATAGCATTGACTTGATCAGATCTATTTTTTGACTGACTGATCGTACTAAATGATTTTGCCTTGTTCTGCCGAACTATTTAAACTTGGGTTAATTTAACTGGTTTATTTACTCTTTGAAGAAATAGCCCACACAGATTCACGAAAAACCAGAAAAATTTAAACTTTCCTACTCATTAGGATACTACAAATATATATAATTTTTATTATTAACGATTAACTCGAAAATGCTCAATTTATTTTAAATCATCAAGTCAAACGTTGATAATGAAAATGAACTAAAATGTCATTTAGAAAGAAAATAACAACAGAAATTTGTGTAAAACTATAAACTAAATGCCTGGTAACGGGTGGTGTGTACTGTGTATATAAGCAGAGGGTAAGAAACGTTTCACATTCTTAAAATTACAATATTTATAAAAAAAACCTATTTTGTTTTAGTAACAAACCATCAGTAATATTGATGAGAAAAAGTTTAAGTTACTAAAGACCATAATCAACCACAAATGTTAACAAGTACAACGGCCTTAATTATACCATCATTAAGTAAGTAGTATTTTAGAACATAAAACAACCAATATTATTCAATGAAAGATATCTGCAAAAAATGAGTGTTTTTCCAAACTGTTCTAATGTTAAAAAGTTAGAGGAGTTAAGGAACAACAACTTTCTGAATGTATACGATTGCTTTATTAATGAAATACTTGTAGAAGATTTAAATGCTTTTTACACTGACGTACTGTATATTTTCCATGTTTCGCATGGAACAGTTGTACTTTTAGCGTACCGTTATCAAGAGATGAACCTAATCTGAAATTCTACATTTGATTTTGCATGCTTCAAACAGTAAACTCTGGTAATCCAAAGACAATAAAAGCAGTACTGCAATGACGGATTAGATTAACCCGTTTATGTATTATCTGAGAAAGTGGCTTACACTGAAAGACGAAATATCGGAAAACTTTTAACCTTTTTACTTAATTGGTTACAGTTTACAAGTCTTATTCGGTTAAGTAAAACCGTAAATTACTAAAAAGCAGGATCTATATAACCTAATACAGGAATATAATGTAAACAAAGACAACTAAGGATAAAGAAAGAGCTTACTTATTTTTCTAATCCAGTGCTGATGGCCTGGTGACTGACGAAATCTCAGCACGGATACAGAGGGATCGATCGGCTTTCGCCAATTTGCCTCATTTATGGCGTAGACGAGATATCCGTATGCTAACTAAAGGACGAGTGTTCTGTACAGAAGTTTGCTTCGTCCTACCATATGGCTGTGAAACATGCCAGTCAGATTAGATGTTCGTAGGTTGCTGGTTTCAGATCACAGGTGTCTCCGAAACGGAAGCTAGGAAACGGGAGCTAGGTAAGGATGGCATGTTAATAGATGCAGTGGAGAAAATTCATTAGTTGAGGTGGTTGAGACATGTGTTACGTATACCTAACAACCGACTGCTTCGTCGAGCTGTTTTGCAATGTAGGAATAGGTTGGACGAAAGCTAAGGGCGGCCAAGCCAAAACATAACACAAATCCATGAAGTCACTTATAACTGGACTGAGCCATATTTGTAGGTGTCGAATACCTTGTTGAGGCCCGCGAGTCGATAATAATCGATAGTTAGACACCCTGAATGACATGGCTCAAAACCGTTTGCAATGGTGCAGGTGCATACATTTTTTGTGTCCTCTCGTATCCTAACCTTCAGCGTTCCTCATCACTTATACTTTTTCTTTTAAGTCTATTTCAATAGATTCTAATTCTTGAATAATATCGTCGAACCCTAAAACTTCCGACTACTGCTAACACTTCCACTACCTCTACTGCTATGGAATTTAAAGTGACAGTTGCATCTCTGTTCTGTCGTATGGCAACTTGAATTGATGTACGTACGTACGAAGTTGTATGTTGTTGTTGACTGACTGAGTAACTCAATGAATGCAGATTTTTGTACTTGGCTTAGAGCCACATTCTGAATAGGAAGGTTAATGATGCCCAACCGTTCAAAAGTAGGTGTAGTAAAGTTCGAACATACAAACTGGAGCAGAAAATCGATCGTTTTAACTACTGAGACACTATTTCACAGATTCAGTCATGAAGTACAAACATAACAGTTTATTTTAATACGACTCTACTAAAAATCTCAAATTTATGCCGACATTATCGTTTACATTTTTCCTATCAAATACTTCACAAAGCGAAAACCAGCGGTCAAACTACTCGACTGTTAACCTCTTTGAGCTACAGATTCTAACCTAAATTTGCTTAATACCGGTTAGTAACTCATTTAGTTAGCTCACATAGAAATATATGTATACATATATTACTACAAATTAAGTTAATAAAATGAATTGATCTATTTATATGCTGTGAAAAAATTGTGTAAACAAATATGAATAAATAAAAAACAGGATGGGAGAAATGTATACATTTTTGAATAATTCGATAAAAACAATCCGATTATACATGAAGATCAAACAAAAGTAAATGTTTGAAATTCATTTTATGATATTAATGAATGTAGTAGTTAGTCAATATATTAATCAAGAAATTGAACGATTAGTTTGTTGATTCGCTCAAAAAGTTAGTGCACTAACAAACATTACCTTAGGTAAAATCCAAACATACTTCTGTGAAATTTGAACTGCTCAGTACAGCTTGTTAGAAATAAAACATCTAACAAAACTGTTTATGTGCAAACGATGCGTGCTTTAAGCAAAACACTGTGGACTAACTAGCTATACTGAACCCTAGTTACGAATTTCACAGTGTGAGTTAAAGAAATTTTTAACACGTACAGAGACAAGTGTTGAAATCATATTGGTAAAAATAAAATTTTCTAGATAAATTTGAAAAGCAATGTGAAACTTACCGATTCATAACTCGAATATCTTCATGGTAGTTATATTCGAAATTTTGAACACCACTGGCATCAGGTTTATCTTTGGTGCAAGGCCGCAATTTAACTGCAGTATTTTCATCTGCACCTGTCGCATCCAGACATAAGGATGAGTCGGCAACTGATCGAATCTCTCCAACAGCCTTAGATATTGGTTCTATTAACGGGTACTTTTTAACCAAATCAAATGCTATTTCTGTCATAAACCACTTGAATGACTTGCATTTAAGTCGCTCTCGTATTTTTCGCTGCTCAGTCAAGTCACCAGGATCTATACGCCTGTAATTTGGACGCCGTTTATATAAATACTCTTTATATTCATCCATCCAAACTTCTGCTACACGTCTATAGAGAAAATGATAGTCCATTGTTAACCATATGTAAAATCAACTTCCATTAAACTCAAATGCTTAGCTGAAGCTGTTCACAAAGTTTCATACAACGGTAATAACTTGCTGTTAACCATCTAACGGAATGGCAGACAGCTCCTCCGAAACGCACAAGTAACAACAATGTGCATTCCACTTCGACAACAATTCGTTATCACAGGTCAAACTTCTTCACTTAAATGAAAATAATAAATACTGAATCTTTCAAATTTGTACTGATCGTTTGATATTAATCAATTAAGTCAATGTCAATCCCAGTACTTACCTTTGTATTATAGTATTCTCTAAAAACAGTAGTACGTGAATAATAGATTTTCAGTAATAAATGTTTGGGTTATCTCTGATTTCCTATTACTATAGGAGCTAAATTTTTCAAACATGAATTAGCAATTTTTCATCATTTTAAACTACTAAAAACTTTATTAAACGGTTCGGATCGAGTTGGTGCTCCCATGAAGGGAACTAAACCTATTTGTCTATCCTTTGGTGTTTTGTACGATCAATCTATTGCACTGACCACCGGACAGTGACAAATGACTTATGTGCATAGCATTTGTATTTACTCCGTTAAGACAGTATTGTATATCTTTCAATGTATTTATATTGCTTACATAAACGTCTGGAAGCTGGTCACTCAAACATACGATTACAAATAAATATGGACAGCTGTTTACAAAAACTTGAAATGATAGGCGTACACCATGGGTTTGGATAGATAGGCAGCACACCTATGATATTGATATTTCATGTTGTCTAGCTATCCTGGTATAACTATCTGCCATATAAGTTTATACAGAAACGAGCTAAAAGTTTTCCAAATCTGTATTAATGCGTGAACATAAGAGTGAAATTATCAAACTGGCTACTTTGGGAATATTCAAAACAAACAATTTTCAATAAGTCTGGGGTAATTTGTCTCAGTGTCTTAACTCAGTTCCGATTGATACTTTAGAATCTGAAACAAGTCTAATTTGTATCATGTCTCAGATAATAGTGGAAATATAGCACAACTGTTTCACTTACTTGTAGTTGCGACCAACAAAGTCGCCGAGCTCCGCTTTAGGGAAGTTTGTTGAATACTTACGATATATATGTCCTATTCTAGAACATGGGACATCTATCATACGTCCTCCACACATCCAAATCTTGAAAGACAATTCATACTGCTCTCCACCCCAAATCACAAGACCAGGATCATAACCTCCAAGTTCCCAGAACCACTTTGCACTAATAGCAAACAGACCTCCTGCCATTACTGGACTGTCGAAAGGTTCTTCAGGATGATATCTATCTTCCGGCAGTCGTGGGAGGCGCTTGTAATACAACTCCCAGTCAAATGCCCCACGAGCACCTTCATCTTGTGCACGATATTCAAAGTTGGCTGCATCTATCACATCAATAAATGGACAGACAACTGTTCTGTAGTTCGCAGCAATCGGATCTAGCAGCGGTGGGAGCCAGTTTATCCCACATTCACAATGAGAGTCCAGGAATATGAGTACTTCCCCAGTAGCTTCTTTGGCACCTGCTGTCTTAGCCTGAATAAGACCTCCCCTGTGTGCCAGGTGAATCACACGCACTAAACCACCCGGATACGTGGTCGCGATGTGATTGTCAAGTTTATCCTTAAGATATTCTCGCGAGCTTCCATCATCAACTAAAATCACCTCCTTTATTAGTCCTGAAGGAGCTCGATTCAGAACGGATGAGACTGTACGAAGAAGTGTTTCCCAATGTTCTTCGAAAAAAGGAATAATCACAGAAGCAGTAGGAAGTTTACTGGAATACAGTTTTCCTTTACAGCGTGGATGGCGAATATCTTTTATAGACCTATCAATTTTGATTTTTCCACTGACATATACACTAAAACCGTTCTCATTTTTGGTTTTATCAGATAGCTTTTGTTCGAGAGCAGATAACTTGACAGGCAGCCCATTCTCTCCAGGTCCCACTCTCGAGCTTTCAAGCGCAGTCAGTGAGTAGTTTTCCCAGTCAATTCGAAGTGACTTTATATCATGTTCACTTTCAAAACCTGAATTTTGTATTGGTTGGTTTGCAGAATTATGTGCAGAAGGAACTCTATTCGAATAATTATGATATATCAAAGCTATAAATAACAGAGAGAGTAGACAGGCTGCAATGAGACGAATTATTCGAGAAGGATATACACGCATCTGTAACACATAAATAGTACCCTCGAAAAAGTAAATTAAATATCAAGGTCAAAATTAATGTTGTGGGTTAGTTGAAGGGCAATAATTTATAAATACAATATCCAATTTTTTCACGAGTTAGTATAAAGCCCTAGGTTTCTTCGAGCTTGATTCATTCTCTTTCTGAACATCTCAAGGTATTTGATGTGTTCACTTTAGGGTAGTATGGTTTCTCGATGCAAGTAGCCACCACATTACCAGACCATATGTGAGTGGATTATTCCACTTAACGCTACTAACTAGAGTGTTCTTTGTTAATCTCGACTTGAAATTCATTCCAAATGTGAACAACTCTCAATGAGAAGTGGATTTTTCCCTCAGTGTCTTGTTGATGTTGTGACAATATGTTCATGTTGACGTGCTTCGACATACCTTATATGTTGCAAGTCACTATCAGACCACCCATCATTCTCCTACAATTCAGTTGGAATATTCACAAGTCTTGAAGTATGTCATTGTGAGATTTATTTTTTGACTCTGCTGGTCACTTAGTTGCTAGTCTCTGCAGCTGATGTTTGAGATTTGTATCGCTTTTGGAAAAACATGCTGAAACAACGTTGTAAACTTCAAGGTGGGAATTGCTTATGATTGAAGAAGAGTAAGCCAAAAAAAGAGATAATTGTAACAATTGTTTCCGTCTCATCTTTATCATATCCTCTACGTAGTTTTATTCGGCATTCAGGATCTCTGTGGTTACTAGACTGAGGTCGCACTCTGATTATACAGTCTGGATCAGACTGTCACGGAAATCATAAGCTGTTTATGTCACGTGAGGCCTACTGCTCATCCCATGACATTTCGGCTAGTTGCAGTTCAAACCGCCGTCCTCAGACCATTTTACCTAATGTCATAAGGTTACTAATTAATTCTGTTCGCCTCCTTTGAACTTCTATAACTTAGTACAGTGTGCAGGTTTGGTATAACTGAGTTAATGTCATCGGGCCAGTCAAAAATATAGATCAGGAAGCAGATTGGTCCTTTGATGCTTCCACGTGAAACTCCTGAACTTGACACTCTATATACATTTTGAACGCACTTTTTGACCTTTCGGTATTTTCGAATCCAAAATAGGGGTACATCAGTGGGGCCAATTTTCTCGACCTTCACTTCTAGTAGTGAGTGGACTAGTGTGTCGAATGCTATTGGGAAAACATAGAATGTTACATGAACATGTATATTTTGGTTCCAGCAGATTGCTTAATGGCTCATGCTTTGAGATTAGACACAAATCTCCCGTCTACCCTGAAACGGTGTTGGGCTGTTCTTATCCATGCACTACCGAATTCGCTCATTCACCAGCATTTCTGTTGCTTTCGAGAGTATTGTTAGTGATGAGATTGGTCTGTTCCAGTCCGAATTTTCTTCATCTCCTCCTTTAAAGGAGTACAGTACACAAATCACGATCTCGTGGAATGTTGCACTTCCACCAAGTAAATGAAAGAAGCCAGCTAAACTCTTGCTGTCGAACTGCCACACCGAAGAACTGAATCACACCTAGTTTAGTGATTTTTCAATGTCCACTTGGTATTACGTCTCAGAACAGTAATTTACATAGCCTTTTTACCTCACCCAACATGATATACAGACAGAAGCATTAGGAAATATTTTCTGGGCTCTCCTTTACCGTTGCTGACACGTAATTCTCATTCTTTTAGTGACTGCCTCCAACTGCAGGGGATATATATTCTATGGTCATCCTCTCCACCTCTACCTTGAAGACAGTATATTAAGACTTTTTCGTCACTCAGTGTGATGATTTCCGAGGTGTGTTTCATCAACTCTCATAGCATTTTACCTAATTTCTTCCTAAGTTAAGAGGCAATTTATTAGCTGACGCTGTCGGTCTTCACTTATCGTGTCTAGCTAATGGCTCCATCGTACCTTGTGTATTTCATTTTTAGTAAATACTTGCATTTTTGAATGATAATTTTGGTAGTTTCCCAGTTTTCGGCCGCTTACAACAGAACGGTTTTGTTGAGACTTTTAATTTTGATGTCTGCTGATAGTTATTCTTGGTTCCATGTATTTCGATTGCAAAACAGTCCATTCGTGCCTTTGCTTGTCCATCAGATCCCATTTTTTATCAACGACGCTAACCTCAAAGCATTTTCATCAGTGGTTGTTTGGTAAGTGCTCACTGAATTATACCTTGGGATTTAGATTTCTGTATGGTATGCTGAGGCCTATTGCTGTAGATGTTGTCGTCATACAGGTTCTCTTCGCCCGCGTTTGTAACTGTTCTTAGGACAGAAAAACAGTATAATTCCGAAACTCCAAATCCTGGAGTTGCTCGCGAGATATGCAGGACTGATTTAGGTCTGGATTAATTTTCCGTAAAGCCCTAGCTTTCTCATCAACCCAAGAAAGAGCAGACTTTCCGATGTTTAGTTTTGAATTTCAACATCTTGTTTTGAATGTACAACTCTAAATGACTCGAAAAATTTCAATGCTACACATTTTTCTTCCAGTTACCGTCATAAAGCAATACGTAAATCTTTAATCCACAGAGAGCTTCAGAGACAATGCAAACTGCTATGTCGATGTAGCTAAGATACATGAATTGTTAAATTTTATCCGGAGACATCTTGATGATGATAATAATAATATATTTATTCTCAAATAACTACGTTACAAGAGTCACGCCAGTTTACAGACTAGATAAAATTGTCACAAATGCTTTCACATTTACTGTAAAAGTTATAGCAGTTAAGTATAAGAGTCAGTTTCCGATAGCATATTTACACCATGTCACTGACAGAAACACTACGATACAACCACATTTTCAATATTAGAGTACAAATAAGGAAGGTGCACAATAGGTTCTTTTGGCGATTTGCCGAGATCAATAGTGAATTTGTTGGGAAAGGTCAATATGGAACGCGCTTGATACGAGCTGTGATCCAGACAGTCATGTACCTAGGGAGCATGTTCCCTAGAGTTGCCAAGGATTTCCCACCGTGAATGGGGTTCTGAAAAGGAGAAAAGAGAGAGAAGAAAAGGCAGCAGTGTTGCAAGTGTATATATATAACCAAAACACTACTTAACCTCTATTGTTGAATTAGTCAATGCAGTGGTAAGTCAAGATAAAATTCATACTGACCACTTAAATTAAAGCAAATTATGGGAATATAAGAATATAACACACAGATAAAGGAGTACAGCAAAAATAAGGAAGAGTTGTGCAGTGTCAGGTGGATAGAAGAGAAGTCGAAGTACGAAGCTGGATTTATGTACGTTGAAATCAAAAGAGTAGAGTTTGTAATTAGAAAACAATGTTGAATAAAATTTCGCACTGTCTAACTGTTTTTATTATTATTATTATTATTATCATTATTATTATTGAATGTCAACCTCTAAGTCATACTGTAGGCGCCTGAGTAAGAATGTTGCGGGTGTCTCGACCGAATAGCGACCTCAGCATAGTTTTAGAAACATGAACCACAGAAGTAGCAAGCGTATAAGAGCAACCTTAGTGTTACTGATTAGTCGTCTCATTAATCTAAAGAGCCGAAAGCAAACAAAATGTTCTGCCCCACAAAGATGGGTGGTTTGAAGTCATCGCCCACACCATCAATGTTTGCTGGTCAGTAACTCCACCCTCCCTCCTTTTGTGTTATTAGGCTCATGTTAAGTGTTTAAAAGAAACTATTGAGTTCTACTTGGTGCTCCATGTCTCACATCCTGTTGAGAAACACTATTTCTGCAAGTTCCTTTCACAAACTTGTCTGGCTGTTACAACTTATGAACTATTGGTTAGGCATCAATGCTATACAGTTAACAGTTATGGAGAAATAGTAAGAATTTTCAAACAAGATATAAGCATTTAGAATGTAGTGGGGAAGATGTACTTAACTAGCTAAGTAGGAGATATAAAGAGTATCACGGTTAAAAGTTGAGCAATAGATAACACTAAGGGGCCAAGGTTAAGTCAATAGCGTGTAAGTGAGAACAGTATAATTGATAATAGGCAATGTGGAACTCACGCAGTTGTAAGTGTTGATAAGGTTGCGCCCAGGAGAGTAGAGTGAATTCTAATCAACCAGTTTACAGTTGAACAGTGTCGAACGACCCAGTTAGTAGAGTAACCTGTCTATTTCAAATAAAAACTAAAGAGATTTATATTAAACTAGAAAAATTTAATGCTACTTGGCAGGGTAAAAATAGCTAAATAAGACGCAGCACTGAGTTCATTGTGTTTAAGGTGAATACAGGGTGCGAGTCAGTGCAACTGTGAGCATCATTAAGAAGTTGAACAAACTCATGTAACCCACTTGCCATGCGTATTTTTGAGGGAAACCTTTTCCATATAAGTGCATACTTAGAGAGGAAGAAGTTTTCTCGAGTTCTGGATGTATACTTCTCAAGTTTGACCGTAGATACTTTATCTCGAAAGTTATGTGTATATGGGCAATGGATGAGCACTAGACTGCAGGGGGAATATGTGAGCTTGTGCAGGAGTTTAAAGTAAAGGTTCGGATTGGACTTAAGCCTTCTTTTCCATTATGGATCAAGCCCGAGTTCAATACATCGGGTTGGATAGTCAATGAGTGAGCTATGATTTAGGACTTTCCGGGTAAAGTTCCTTTGTATTCCTTCAAGCTTCAACATATAAGGCAGGCGTAAGTTAGAAAATAAGAAAGAGCATTATTCAGCAATAGGTCTTACGCACGTTTTGTAGACAATTGTTCTGAATTCTCTATGAAGGAAGTTACGAAAGATGAAACCAAGCATTCTTCTCATTCGGGAAACTTTATTGGAGATATGTTCGGAGAAGTTAAGGTTGTGCGAATAATGCACTCCAAGATCAGTTACGGATGTGAGTTTGGGCAATACATTCCTGTTGAGAATAAGATCTGATTTGGGAGACGTGTCTCCGAAACACATCCAGCCACACTTCTCAGTATTAAGTTCGAGGTTCCATTGCTTACACCAGACATCTACAGTATTGAGTTCGTGCTGGATTGTGTGCAACAAGTTTCCTAAGTCAGATTTGCTAGTTTGATAAATCACTTTTAGGTCATCCGCATAGAGGTAGGT